CGGGGGCGCGCGTCCCCGGCCTCGCCCGGCCCCTCGGCGCGGTCCCCCGCCCCCAGCGCCGCCGCTGCCAACCCGGAAGGAGCCCCGGGGGGCCGGGCGACCCCGCCCGGAGCCCACCAGGTGCCCACCTGAGCCCGACGCCCTGCGCCGCATGGCCCTTTGCGGGGCGGGGTGCCAGCTCCGAGGTGCCCTGCCACGTGCCGCAGACTGGGAAACTGAGGCCCGGGCCACGGTCCCAGACATAGCCAGGACACGACCCCGCTACGCCTGAGCTAATGATGTCGGGGACTTATCCTTTCTCGACATTTTTGAAGGATCCAGTTCCCCAAATACTCGGGACCCTCCCTTCTATCCAACAAAGGCTTCCTGCGCAGTGTGTGGCATTGCCTATGGGCATCTCACCCCCGCCTCACACCCTGTCTCAGTTTAATAAATCCCTCTGCGATTTGACACACAATTATCCCCATGCTACAGATGAGAAAACTGAGGCCCAGGCACTCTCAGTCCTCCTGGGAGAAGACCTGGGTTGACTCCATAAGTACGGTGTCCACACATTTCCATTTTACAGATGGAGAAACAGGCACAGAGAGGAGATGTCATCTACCTAAAGCACCCTAGCAGTGGTTGGCAGAGTCAGGATTTGAACCCAGATCTCCTGACTTTGGAGGGTGTCAGTTCTTACCCACAGTTAGGGAAGAATGTAGACAGCACATTTATCTGGGCTTCCATTTTGCCATCTGTAACAAGGTAAGTATCCGCTTAGAGTGGAGTTTCTTCATCTGGGGTGCATGGATGGGAAAGCTGTGTGTCCCATAAAGCTGTACGCAAGTGTAGTATTTGTGTGTGTGCACGCATGTCTGTGCTGCGTGTGTGTGGTGTGTGTATGATGGATGTGTGTGTGTGCATGATGTGTGTTTGTGTGCATGTGTGTGGTGTGTGTTTGTGATAGGAGTGTGTGTTTATGGGAAGGGACTAGCAGCTTCCATCCCCTCATCAGAGGGGACCCAGAACCTCCCAACTTGCCAGGACACTCTCTAACCCCTCCTTCTGCCTGGATTGAGGTGTAGTAGGCAGTCCTGGGGCTGGGGAACCCCTGCCTACCTTGGCTGTGCACTGGGTGCCTGTTCCTGATGTGGCTTGTCCAGACTGGATCTCTGCTGGGAACACTCCCGTGGGAAGGATCTGCCAGCCCCCACCTCTGATTCCTGGGGGCTGCCTCTCCTGGACTCACTGGGTGCAGGCAGCACCAGGACCTGGGCCTGAGTTAGGACGGGGGAGCCATCACCAGTGTGCCTGTATAGAGGAAGATGATCCCCTGTCCCCCAAGGAGGTGGATAGTGAGAGCTGAGTTCAAACCCTGCCTTTGCCACTTCTGCGCCTCAGTTTCTCTTTTGTAAGAAGAACAGTGGCATGTTCCTTACAGGGGTGTGGGCAGGGCTGAGATATCATGGTACTGCCCTGGCACCCACTGTCCCCTGCTTCACATGGTCCCCCAAGGGCTCCCCACTTCCTCCTTCTGACAACATTGCCATGTTGTTCCTTCCTACAACATCACCGTGGTGCCAACTTTGCTCCCTTGGGGTATTGCCTCCCTCCCTTCCATGAGAGATTCTTGGGTATGTACTATGTGCCATCTCTCTGACCCCCAAGAAATGCAGTTTAGTGCCTGTCTGGTTAGCTCTTGTTGTGAATTAACCCCCTGAATGACTTATCACTCCCGAGGGGCAATGTCTCAAAAGGATCCCAGGCCTGTCTAAGGCCCTGGTCAAGTGGCTGGGATCAAAAACCATCACCCCAAGGGGCTTTGACGGGCATGCAGCTGTTTGGTAAGGAGAAGTGCTGGGCAGTGTCTTCCATCCTGGGGGGTGCCTTGGAGGGACTGGAGGCTTCTGGAACCCAAATGGGTGCCACAGAATGAGGAGACACTGCCAGGTCTGTTTGCAACATGTCTGAGATGCTCCTGCCATTAATGGCATCCACATTCCTTAATGAGTGCCACCAACATGTGGTAGATTCTGGCCTCCACAGAATTTCTCCAGCAAAAGATCTCAGAAAAGCTGTTATCAACTTTTTTACATCAGAAAGATTCCTATCCTTGCAAAGCTGGGATCCCCTGGTCCAGGGTATTTATAACTATAGCCAGACCCTGTGGCAGTTCAGCCTGATGATTACCGCCACATGGGCTCAGTGCCCCATAGGCCTGAGTGTCAATTCCAGGGCAACCATTAAGAGCTGTGTGACCTGAGACAAATCACTTCCCCTCTCTGAGCCTCACGTCCTTGCCTGAAATAACAACCATGAACCTTTTAAAGTTATCTCTGGCTCAAGAGTCCCAGCTAGCAGTGGTCCCAGGGCACAGCCAAAGCCCCCTTTTAGGGCCTGACTTTCCTTGTGGATATCAGCCTGTTTTCTGGTCCTCTCCTTGCTGAGCGGAAAGGCAGGAAATGCCGGGGGGCCGGGGTTTTGGTCATTTGAGGTTTCAATGTTTGCTGAGACAGGGAGGAGAGGGGCCGGCTGGTTTGAGGTCTTGGGGCTTGTCCCTGCAGGCGGGGCCTCCCCCTGGAGGCCTGGTCCTCTCCGCTGCCAAGAGCAGACCACAACTGCCAGTAACGACAGCAGCTTCCGTTCCCGAGCGGGGACCGTGTGCCAGGCGCTGTGCTAAGCATTTTGCTTGCATTGTCTCTTGCCCAACTCTTCGCCACCCGGAGGCAACCTTATTGTCCCTAGGTGTGGGGCTCAGGGGTGAAGGGGCTCCCGAGGCTAGTGACTGACTGATGGTGCCGGCTGTGTACTTGCCCGCCAGACCACATGGCCATCCCCTGGCCAAGCCCTGCAGGGAGGCTTCTTTGGGGTAAGAAATAACTTGGCTTAAGTTCGGGCTCCCATCTGGGGGCTGATGAGGCCGGAGAGAACACATGGACATGCGCGCGTGCACACGCACACACATACACACTGGTAGACCACACAGGGGACACACAGGCACCCTTCTGGAGCAGGCCATGGGGTCCAGGAAACACAACCCGTCTGTCGTGGATTCACTGACACATCCACCCTGGCCTATTCCAAACAGAAAATGCTTTGTCATCATAGCAAACAAACCTGGGCCACAGCCTCCTTTCCCTGTGAACTCCCTCTGGGTCCCAGCTAAGGGTCCCTTTCCTCTGCTATGTCCAGCAGGACAGCCTCCCCAGCTTGGGGAGTGGTCTGTAATGTCAGGCGTGTTCACACGCCAGCTGGTGTGAGCCCAGGCACCCTATCTGACCGGTACCCATGTTCTGCCCACTCTATAGGTGAGGAAGCAGCCCAAGAGGGCTAAGGGGTGTCCAGAGCCCATGTTGCCAGTCCCCAGGGGCCCAGGCCTGATGGCCATGAAAGGCAAGGGGCCGCTTAAAAATCAGCAGCCTTCAAAGCCAGTGCCCAGACAAAGGGCAGGCCTCGAGGGCCAGGCCTTCCCAGCTTGCTTCCAGGTTAGGGAACAATGCCCACTCTCTGCGCCTTTGATCCGGGGGTCTTAGAGCAGAGGGCACCCTGCTGGGCCAGGGCCGGGGCGCTGGGAGACCCGGAGAGCCTGCAGCTGCCTGGCCGAGTTATTTATGCTCTGTGGAGCTGCCCTTCTCACCCAGCTTATTTCTTCCTCACAGAGCTGGAACTGAGGCTGGAAGGGAGTGACAGGAGGAAGGAAGCTGTCGGAAAATCATAAATTAGGGCTCTGAGGGGGCCTTCCTGCATGCCTCAGGAATCCTCCAGTGGAGAGTCCTGCACTTCTGGGGGTGGTGGGGGGTAGGACAACAGAGTGACAGGGCCAGGCACAAGCAAGCATGGCTGGACAGCGTGCCTGTATTTGGAGTTAGGAGACCCGGGTGTTCTATGTGATCTAGAGAGAGTCCCTTCTCTTGAGACCTTAGTTCCTCCATCTGGAAAATGGGGGTGATGTGAAGACTTGGGGACCTTTCTGTGACTGTGCTTTGTTGGCTGTGAAGCAATGGAGAAGTGAGAGGCCTTTTCCTTAGTGATGTTTGTTCCCACCTCCCTTCCTCTGGTACCTTCCCCCAAATCCTCGCTTTCCTTCCCACCCCACCTCTGCCCCACCTGCCTTCTCTGGGACCCCTTACTCTGTTTCTCTTCCCATACTCCTCCTCCTGTAAAAAATGAACTAATAGGGTCTCATTATGCAGCATCCATCTGGTCAGGGAGTAGAGGGAGGAGCCGTGGGTTCGTTCATACTAGAGTGTGAATGATTTATATGTTTAACACTGTTTAAGGCTGGGAGGAGGAGGCATTAACAGGGATTCCTCTCATTTAAACCCTAAATCATTGGTAGTAGCCTTCTAGGTTGGTGAGGGGGATGTTTGGTGACCAGGGGCCTAGAAACATGGTCTGCAGAGTGTGAGAACTTCTGTGTGGGAAGGTATCCACCTCCTGGCCCCAGTGAGGTGAAACCACTCCCTGCTAGATGCTTCTGGAATGGCAGCCATGAGTCCCTGCAGTTAGATGGATCTGGCAGAAGTGAAGGGCAGGCAAGAGGAGCCACTCAGAGCAGAGAGCCTGGTGTTGCCCACCATCCCCACCAGTTCCAGGTGGCATCTGCTCGATCATGAGCATGTGCGCCCATCCCACCTGACACCCCCAAGATGGATGGTTTTTAACTCTGGGTAGTTGGTTCTGAGAGGGAGCAGGAGAATGAGAGTAGGGGGAAGAGAGAATCAGAGAAAGACAGAGAGATGGGGAGATATAGTGAGAGACACTCAGAAAGGAAGGCAGGAAGCCAGAGATAGTGGGAGACAAAGTGA